ATAATTTGATTTAAGTTTAATAATGAAATAATTTATTTTTGGTTTAATAATATAACATTTTATAAGGATAATAATTATCTTAATTATATTTTAGATTTTTTATATTTAAAATGAGATGTTTATCCTGATTATATTTTAGATCTTTTATATTTAAAATGAGATGTTTATCTTGTATTTGATTATGTTTATCTGCAGTCAGTTATACGAATTCAGATATGAAACTTTAATAAGTTGTACTTACGCACAATCTACTTGTACTCTTAAGTTTTAAGTAATATGCATTAATAAACAGTACCTTATGCATAAAAATTGATTTTAAGAATTTTTATCAAATACTTTATAAGTATAGACTAGGGGATTTGGTTTCAATAATTATTTTATATGTTTTTCTTTTTAAATATAATATTTATATACATCGATTAGCTCACTTTTTATGCATGTTCAGTAGTTGATTCAATATCTTTGTCTGATGAGGACACATTTAAAGTAGATTAAAGGTTTGCAAGTCGTCCGATGTATTTTTAGCCTAATTTCACCGTTTCAAGGATTTTTTAAAATTTTGGTTGATTTCAAGGAATTTTTTAGCTTTTTCGTCGATTTCAAAGAGTTTTTTCGGGTTTTTTTAACTGATTTCAAGAAAAAAAAATTGGTTGATTTCAAAGTACTTTTTTTGGTTTGTGGGGACATAGGCAGGAGATTACTGGGGGAAACTACAGTTACAGTAAGAAAGTTAACAGAAAATGTTTTTAACCGACGTAAAAGAGGAATTTTTTTAAATATGTTTGATAACTTACTCGTTTTCTATTATTTAATCCGTCCCAAAATTAGTGTCCACGGTAGAAATGACACAATTTTAAACATATACATAATTATTACATTTTTTTATTAACCTGAATATCCAACCCGTTATGCGAGCGACTAATCACAGGACGACCACCTGCTTTGTAGATAATTATTACATTTTTTATCAACCAATTAAGAATAATTTGAGAATTCAGTCATAAATTTTTGAAATTAAATACTTGTTTTAATATAATTTAAATAAAAATATAAACATTTTTTTAATAGAAATGAAAATGAAATATTTATTCTATTTGTATTTTGTAAATCCATCGGATCAAAAAAATGAATAATTAGCGATAATCCGGTATGGTACGGCATGAAACTACCTCCACCTGTCCCACTCCCACCCACGCATTCCCCTCCCCACCGACAAAAAGTCTCACGCTTCTCAGGTCAACTTAAGTCAAATGTTTAGAACGAGGGGTGCTTAAAAATCCGATTAATCCAATCCAATTCAACATGAAATAATCCAATCTGAAACAATCTGATATTTAATCGAGTTGTAAAATTGTCAAACCGTAGGTATTGGGTTGATATTGAGTTACTATTATTTGAACTCAACTCAACCTGATGAACCTGATATCCTTTTATTTCTTGGATTCAATATGATTGTTGAATTTTTATTAATATATACATTAGACAATTACACTATCATGTATGCTTTTCATATACACATATTTTCAATTTATTCATATCTCTATATAACTCATTCATATATATGTTCATTAACTGTGAACATATATATGTAAATTGGGAAATTAACTGAATGTGATATACGTAAGAAATATGAATAAGTTGTATCAAATAATTGATGATAAAAAAAATTATGAGTAAAGAAATAACATATTCAAAGATTTAGAATATTTAATGTGTTCTGTTTGTATGATTTGGAACAAAAGTGAAATTGTCTTCTTTATAAATAATTTATAAAATTAAATTACAAATAATTATGAAAATAATTAGATTATCTTTTTACTCATTGATTATTAAAAACAATTGTTTTAACATATTTTAAAACGTTTTATATATATATATATATATATATATATATATATATATATCCTACAAAATCTCATGAAATATTGTAACACCCCTAAAAACTGAAAATAGCAATAATTTATAACTCGGTGTAAATTGACATTTAAATATCACAATACAAGTATTTGCCCAAACATGACAATAAAGTTACAAGATGGAAAATACGAAGTTTGAATATCAGAGTTTCTATAGACTTTTGTCAAATCCTATTAGGACTAGAATTAGAAACAACTACCGAGTCTTCTTCCAAAACAACGAGAGCTCTCCAAAAATGCTATCCCCTCACATGTGCCTTTAAATGACACACCAAGCTCTGTATCACTGGCTTTTAGGCTTGACACTACTGTGTCTTGTTAATAATAAAAAGTGTTAGGCATGACGTCTAGTGAGATCAAACCGCTATCCCAAGTTTACAAATTAACCTAGAAATCAACTGTACTTCAAAACCGTATGGGATGTTTCATGTAGAGATGTTTAACACAAAGTATGATTAAAAACATGTATAAAACTCTTTAAACTGAAGGATGAACTCACAAATGAGCTTCTAGGTGAAGCCATGGAGACATAGTTAAAATGGTATGGAGAAGATGAGGAAGGTGAAGGTAATTCTTGAAGCTTTTATCTCCTACGCTTGAATCCAAGAATCCAGGCGTTCTTACTAAATGCATCCAAATCGGCACCGTCAATGTTTAGAGATAGATGGGATATTTGGAAAAGTGAGTTGGTATGTGAAATCAATGAAAGAAACAAGGTTGACGTCGATTTATGGATACTAACACCTGGTGCGACTTAGGCGCCTCGACGTAAGGTCGTGTGGCACCAGTCGCCCGAACTCTCCAACCCAAGGCTGCTGTTTGTTTTCATGGGCGTGAAGCCCTTCCCTTGCGGGGGCGAGGAAATTGTCCTAGAATTTGAGTTTTCTAGATTTCAACCACTACACTTACACTAACTCAAGATTCAAACCAAACGTCTCCTGAGACTCTATAGTAGATAAATAATATTTAATTCTTTCTCACCAATAAGAGATGTTAAAATTAAATGTGAATATGACATAAATAATATTCTATTAAATGTATTAATATTTTATTAATATAGTTAATGTTAGAATTGCTAAAATAAAGTAGATGTTGGAGTTGAATGTAACTTCTTTAAAGATTACCACTTTTCATACTCTGTTATAAAATAGTTGATGAAGATGCTATAAAAAATACTAGAGTTTAACGTTTTGTATCTGTGGATAAAATAAAAATCAGATAAAAAGAACAATTATCAATAGATTGTTACATTTTCAAAACATTAAAATTGATTTTAAGATTTTGTAAACAATTTCAAAAAGTAACATGTCTTGATAGTTTAACATTAAACTAATTGTATACATATGTATTGTAGCGAGATATAAAGTTTTATTATAAATAAAAATTAAAAATTAATACAATTTTTTTTTATTAAAAATGGAAAATTCAAAAATTATGAAATATTCTACCATATTAATGTAACTTAAATTTATTATGTATTTGAACATTTTATCATATGATTGTACAAACATTTCTTTTTTACCATTAAATAAGAGCTTATAAATAATCAAATAACACCTTTCAAGTTGTTAACAAGGGTTGTTTGACAGTTGCTGAATAGTTTGATGCAAAATAATTAAGTGGTCAGAATTATTAAGAGGTTGTCATGATATAGTACAAAATGAAATATAAGCGTTTGGTAATTGTTTACAATGAAATTAGAACGCTGAATGGTTAAGGGAGATCCAAGATACAAAATCATTCAGATGATTTTAAACTCATTAAGAAGCGGATTTTTTTTGCCAAACAAGATTCACCTCTTAACGATTCAAAGACTGCCTCTTAATGAAACTATTAAAAGGTAAACAAACAACCCGACATTCGTATTTCACTTGAGTTAAAAAAAGCTGAAACATGTTAAAGATGTTTGATTATATTCAAGTGACCCAAAAACTTTCATATTAAACAGTCACGATTAAAACATAGAATTTTTAGGATAAGAATCATTCATATAAATATATTATAAAAAAAATTACAAATTAAATAAATAAAAATCTTGATAAGTCACGAGTGAGTCAACCAGGCAAGCATCACCGAGTCAGGTGTAACCTCATTCATTGGGGATTTGGGATGGGTGTGAAAGGCCATGATTCCCGCTTCACATTAAACTCAGATCGCTTTGGATCCATACAAAGCTCCCAGATCCACCACCATTACTGTTCTATAGCTTCTTCTTTCTTATCAAACTCCAACTCCTTCCCTTGTTAATTTCAATTTGAATTTCAAATTTCAGATTTGATGATGTAGGGTTTCAGTTAGGGTCTAACATGAACCAGAAGCGGTTCGAGACGACGATGGTGAGAAGAACTCCGACGAGGGCTTGGTTAGGGTTCCAAAATTCAACGGTATTACTCGTGGGTGGAAATCACACCTCCTCCAGGTTTTGTACCCGCTAAATCACTACCGTTTTCCCCATTTTGGTTGCTCAATTTAATTTAACTCTTCGATCTCTCATAAGTTTTAAGCGTGGTTGCTTCAATCCATTAACGATTGTCGTAAAATCGAGTGGAATTGCAACTTTTTTGCAATGAGTTTCAAAGCCCTAAAATCGCAAATGCATCGCGGGGCGGTGGCCAGGCGATTGATTCTGGGGACTTTCTGTTTTGTGTTGGCTATGATTGTGGTTTCCTTCACTCGTATGGCTTATGTAATTCGAACGAATGAGCCGATCTTGGTGAATCTTGATGAATGTTCGTTGGATATTGGCTTGATCACGTACCCACACATGAACACACATGGGATTTCACAAGAACAAGCTCAACTTTCTGTTCGGTATGCGGGTGGTAAGAATTTGACGCTTAGTGTGGTTAAAGAGCTAATAAACAAAGACATGTTGAGCCTTGATTCAGGAGCATTGTGTGTAGGAGAGAGTTCGGATTCGGATTTGTTGACATTGAGAGAATTAGGGTTCTCTGATGTATTTAGGGTTCATAAAAACCCGATTACATCTCTGTTACAGAAACAAGTTGAGCATGAACTGGAGTTCAAAGCCAACTCTTTTGATTTCGTGTTCTCTAGAACCTTTGGTAGGGTTCCTGTTCCAGCTCTTCTCGTGTTAGAGATTGAGCGCGTTTTACGACCAGGTGGCATTGGGGCTATGCTTGTAGGTTTCTCTAACTTCCATATGGGTAGCTTAGTAAGGTCTGCCACCCCAGTTTCATTGCTTTTAAGAAGCTCCGATATTCTCCATGTTTGTGGGATTGGATCTTTTGCGCTAATCGTGTTCAAGAAAAGATTGAGTAATGTTGCCCATTTTGAGGATTATAGGCTTCCTAGTGAATGTCCATCAGTTTCAAGAAACAAGCCTTTCATGCAACATATCGAGCCACTTATGGATCAAAAATTGGGACAATTTGAGAAAGAGGCTTCTTTCTTGCCCAAATTCGTGAACGTTTCATCAAGAAACAGGTTGATTTACATCAACATGGGTACGGCCGAATTGGAACCTAGCTATCCTATCCATCCACAAGCATTCAATGTGTTTGTGGTTGATCACAATATGTCTGCCCTTTCTTCTTACGTCAAAAAGCCGGGTGTGACCTTTGTTTACCACCCGGGTCTTGTTGAAGATGAAATCTTGGCTCCTGGTCTTAACCACGGTGATTATTTGGAGGCTCCGTTGCATGAAGAAGGGTTCGAATTCATCAAGTGGTTTAAAGAAACAGCAAAAGATGGAGATTTTGTGGTGCTTATGATGAATGCAGGTGTGACACAGTTGAAAGTCATGTTTGAGTTATTTGAAAGTGGAGCAATTTGTCATGTTGATGAAGTGTTCATCCGCTGTTCTGAGGGTGTCGATTGCAGAAATAGGCGCTGCAATGACTGCCTGAGCCTTTTCAATGGTCTTAGAAATGCGGGTGTTTTTGTCCATCGATGGTCGGGGGTCTGAAAACGTTCACTTTATCGTTGAATCTGTTTTTATTGTGAACAAATTGGAGGTCAATAAGCCATAGAGGTGGCATCTGGAGACCTCTGTTGGTGAGTGTTCATTGTGTTCATCATGTATTAGTTCTAGTGATCTAATGGTAGGGGCTGCTATTTTCTGGTCAACTTATTGTTAGGAGTAAATTATGATTTTTGTCCCTGTCGTTTGTTAATAATTTCAATTTTGCCCCTGTGGTTTAGAAATCAGGATTTTCGTCCCCATGGTTTACAATTTATTGTTATTCCTGTCCTTGGACTAATTCCTACCTTTATAGTATAAGGGACCAAAACATGAAAGAATTTTAAACCACAGGAACTGAAACAACAATACATTGTAAATCATATGAACAAAACTTGCAATGAATTACAAACCATAGGAACGAACAGCGCAATTTTTAAACCAGAGAGAAAATTACAATTTTTAACAAATTACAAGGACAAAAAATGTAATTAAGTTTGGTGTTAATTATATGCTATATGTACTGTTTTTGGTGTTTTTGTGTTGAGATTTAGGGGGTGTTTGGGATTGCTTATTTAAAACAACTTATGTTTTTTTGTAAAAGTGCTTATTAACTTATGTGGTATCGAACCGGAGTTAAATAAAACAGGATTAAAATTGTAAACTGGTAATAGACAGTTTTTCATAAGTCAGGAAGGATTAACTTATGAAAAACAACTTATTACCGGTTTGGCACCCTTGAAGTCTTTGTAGTTGGATTTTACTCTTAGTATCGCAAAACTAATTTTATTATTCTATAGAGTAATGTTCAATTTTGGTCCCTAATATTTACAATTTTCAACGGATATTATCTCTATGCTTCAAAAACTTGGATTTGTTCCCTTATGTTTGTCAGCTTTCAACGGTTTTGGTCCCTATGTCTAACGGTCGTTAACTTTCTCTGTTAAGTTTAATTAAATGATGGATACTTTAATCATTTTCACTATTTTCATTATTTTAAAATAAAAAAGATATTATATTTTTATGAAATTAAGACAATAGTGAAAATGACTAAATTACTCGTCATTTAACTGGATTTAACAGAAAAAGTTAACGACCATTAAACAGAAGAACCAAGAGTGTTGAAAATTGTCAAATCATAGTTTTCATTCTTGATATCTCAATGTTTAATTTTTAATGATTTTTGTGAGCTATTTAACGAGGCAAAGGAAAGAGTGGAGGGAATTGAGTGTAGGCTCAAACTAGAATCCCATTGATGTGTCGCTCTATTAGAATCATATGGGATGCTTAGTATTCTGGTATGATACGCAACATGAAATTATGGGGCAAGCGAATAGGATGTGATAAACAAACCAATTTGACTTTCATGTCGATGGAAGTTGACGATTAAGGCATTCCGTCTCCTTAGATGTCTCGTTTAGGGAGTGCAATAAGGACTTGTGTATGATGGTGTGCATCATTCATACGAGTCGATTATAGGGAACAACTGTTTATAAATCATGAACTAGCTACTTGGATGACAATTATTGAAGAGAGACTATATATGTAGACGAAAGATCGTGTGAAAATATGAGTTGGAGTGAGAAGTGTAAGAATGGATCTGGATCTTGATCACTTTAAATCTCAGCCCACCCCATGAATTGTGTTTGATACGGGAATTGATCTGGTGCATCTCATTAGCGTTAATATTCAATTATGATTTATTCAAGTTGGAGATCCCCTCTCACCGGAACTCAACTATATATATATATATAGCTAAATCTATCTAGAAGCATGGATAGATCATGGTTTGGTGATGGCATGGGAATATAAATCCCAACTCCCCTTCCACAAATGAGTTTAAAGATATGTTGGGGGACAAGCTTGAATAATGCATCGTAACATAATGGAAGCACAAAATGAAACCAAAAAAACCTGATTAAAAACTACGTTTATGTTTGACACAGTACATAACAAAATCTCTAGAGTCCAAACACGGTCTGTATTGTGTCCCATGCAACTTTCCTTTATATTTGGGTACCATAGAGGTATGCTAAGATAATGCATGACATGTGTGGGTGAATGAGGATTTGTGTCAGGACACAAGTAGGTGAGACAAAGTATTTTTCCATGGCAATGGGGTTACATCAAGGATTAACGCTAGGCCTATTGCCCTATTCATATATGTTGCAATTTTAGATGAGAGTTCTTGAGGGGTCCAAGAGAGTATACGTGATGTATGCTACTTTTTGACGGCATTGTATATTAGTAACTGATTTGAAGGTAGAGGTCAACAAGATGTTAAAGCAATATGTGGATATAATACCAATTGAAGTATGCTTAAATGAACATCTGTTGAACTTTATTGAATATAATACCAAATGAAGTATGTCGGACATAGTTGAAAGTCAGAGATAAATTGCGAAAAAGAAGATTGTAGTGGTTTGGACAAGTTCACAGCAACAGCAAGGATAAACATGACAACATTAAACATCTCCAAGGATAGATATATGAATGAGTATTTTTTCCTATAAAACAACATTTTAGATATTTAGGTCTTAATTAAAATAAAATAGAAATGCAACATATGCCAGCATCAACCTCTACAAAAGGGCAAAGGCTACGGTCACATGTCGATTGTCGACTCAAGATTCTGCATCCCATCTCACTTGTTGGCCCATTGAAGCCCATGTGATGTAATTAAATGACAAAAGTACCCCTAATCTTAAATATAAAATAAAGTTTGATTCTTTGAGTAAGTGAAAAGTCATCATTAGCCCTCTCATCTTTTGTCTTATTCATGATGGTAACCACTCATTGCTTGGTGCCACACTGCCACTAACCACTTTTCCCTAATCATAAATAAAACCCTAGCAAAAGCAACTACCCCCCACCACTTGTAGTTTATCTTTCTAATATACAACATCATATGTATTTTATAATATACATGTAATTACATTATATATATATATATATATAAAATCAGTGAATACAAATACAATAATTAAGCATTTAACCCTTCTGGACTAGAGTTTCTTCAATTTAATAACAGTATTAATAATATGATTCAGTTGACATGTGACATAATTTAAATATTACGAGTAATGAGATAATGTCAACTAAAAAGGAAATTTAAAATCATAATTAGAAGGATACAATAGGGGGTTAAAGAAGTAATTAAAAGAAAGAAAAAGAGAATGGGCCTACAGGCTTCTATAAAAGGAAAGAGCTTTCCTTCATCTGAATAAAGATAAGTGTCAAAAGACAGCTAATATTTGCCAAATAAAGGACATTGTGGTGGGGAATAGGGGGATCACTTAAACCCCCTCCACATGTTCCCACTCATAAACTACAAAAAACTTTGCTGCCCAAATGCCCAATCAACTCTTTTTGACTTCAATCATACCCCACACTAACACTATGCTGCTTTTTTTTTCTCTCTTTGCTTCAACACTAATTCATCATCACTGTTCCAAACTTCCATTGGATACTGTTTGATGATATATGATGTCATGTCTAAATGGTAGTAATACTTTTGAGGTTATACATAACCCCTAAACCATGAAACCTAAACAGCACCAATAGCATCAAAATATGTCCTTTAACATAACCTTCTAAGCATATTTTGAGTGTTTCCAAACTCACCATATCATGCTGGCAAATGTGACCTTTAATCACAAACAAGTATATTCATCGGTTGTTTCAAGGTTCCTTGTTTGTTCCTAGGATATGCTGATTTTTCTAGAGATATGTATGTTCTTGAAAATAGCCTTAATGGGTGATCTATATATCACAAAGTGAGTGACTTTCAGGGTTGATTTAAGACTCATCCATCTTAAGTGTGTTGATATTTAGAGAAATGCATGTTGTTGATATGGGATCAGCAGAAGTGTAGCAGTAACATACAACTAAAAACTAGATACACCTTTGCAGTTTATTGACACAGAATAAAGTACACAAAATAAAGAAAAGGAAGAGAACCCCAGATGAAAAAGGAACAGGTTAATCAGATAATTTCAAGGGGAAAAAAAACCTGTGGTTAGGGCTTCAAGAGCCCATCACAGCACAGTTGTAGACAAATACACCAGCATGTTCCTTCACCCCAATAACCTTCCAATCCAAGACGCCATTTTTGACCCCTGATTTGGGACTCCATGAGTTAAGAACAATGGCTTCACCCTCTGGTCCCCTTTGTCCACCCACCACCAGAAGTTCTTCCCCACAGGCTCTGAAGGCTAAACCCCAACCATTTGAAGAATCAGCCCTGACTGGAAGTCTTCCCAGAACATCCCATGAGTTCTTCTCTTTATCGTACTTCTTGACCATGTTGCTTAGGTACTCAACAGCATAAAGTTGATTAGCAACTACTGCCACAAGAGGAGGTGCCTGGGCAGCCCTGTTTATGTTAGGGTACATCCCGTCGATTTTCCTCCATTTCTTCGTCTTAAGATCAAGTTCCTCTCCACAAGTTAATGAATCATTCGGACTTGTCATTCCTCCTATCACATAAAACTTTCCATCCATGAAAAAACCCGAGCATAATCTACGTGGCGAGTGCATATTGGGCAACATCTCCCATCTACCAGTCGATGAATCGTATAGCTCTGCAGATTTCAGAATGTTCCCATTCTGATCACTACCTCCTGCAACAATGGCAACCATCCCAAAACTCCCTGACCCAAATAAACAACGAGGATGACTCATTCCCTCACATTTCACCCAATTCCGGTGAATTAAACTGTACTTCCATATAGCAAATTCAAACAGTTCGCGACCAAAAACCAGCAATTCACTACCCACAGCTAAAGATTCCTTATCTGCATGATTAAAACATTCATCACAAGGGATTTTAGGCAATCTCATCCACTTCTTGCTAGTTGGATCAAATGCCTCCCATCCCCTGGGATCACAAACCATATACACCCAATGCTCTATGATCCCCAATTGTTTCCTTAACTCATATAGATACCCACTCTTCATAAGCAAATTAAACCTCACATTTAAGCAGGATAGGGAAGCATAATCGAATCTACACGCCCACGCAAGACAAATAAGAGCTACATCATCGTATAGTCCAGGAAGAAGAGAATCGTTGGATGAGTATGTGAGTTTACCATCAAAATCTCCTCCCTTCCCCTTCATCCTTTCTACCCCACTTCCTTCTTCTAGTTCTTCTTGTTCCTGTAATAAATTATCTGAGAAAAAGTGGTTTAAGCTTACAACAAGTACTTAGCAGCTTCTGTCAGAATCTTAACCATTTTTCTCATAATCTTTCTGTGCAGTGTGCACCTTGAATTCTCTAAAAAACACGTTATCTATACCCCAAAATCAAAACCTGCAGTTTGAAGAGCTCCTATACGTCATCATTTCAACTAAAATCCAAATTCGATCCTTCCAACTGTTCTTCATCCTATCCATCAATTTAGGATAATCATAATTTCCTGAAAACCCCCAAAAACAACTCACCGGAAATTAGACATCAAAAACCGACGCAACAAACAGCAATCATGTCCCGTCAATCAATCAAAATCCATGAAAAGCTCAAAATCTTACACTCATATTGAATCGAATTAACGAATATAAGCAAATTTAGAAATAACCGAGATCCAAATATAGCAGCAGCATGAGAACACTAGAATCTCACCGTAAAACCATGACAGATCCCGGCGGTGACAGAGTCACCGGAGCTGATAAAAAAATCCGATCTCGGCGGAAGTCAAGCAGATGGCGGCGGCTCCGGCGATAACTGTTCACACGCAGACATCTCGCCGGAAACCCAAAGGAATCCTACAATACGTGTGATTCTGTGTGTTACAGACAGGTTGAGAAGGATAAAATGGTACGTTTTCTTAAAACTAAGAAAAACTGAAACTTGTTGAGAGAGAAAATGGACCGAAAGTGAAAAGGGCTTTTGTGTCGTTGTCGTAATTTACTCTCACATCCCTCAAGTTTCATTTATTACAAACCACCCCCTTTGGTATTAGCAAGGAGACAATAAAAAACAATCCGAATGGTTTTTGAAAAAAAAGAGTTCGTCATCGGCAATCTCTGATTCGGCTCACACCGCCTCACCTCAAAAGAATCACGTAAAAAAACAAAATCGGTACATATCAACCCGTTATATAGCTGATTTAAGATTCTAGTACCCACACCCACAAGGAGCCAAATCTCCAATAGAAATTGTAACTCCAACACTGCACGTACCAGGCTTAAACTGAGCTCTTTTTATGCAGGTATATCAGTTTGAAACCAACTGTTCTACACCTTGAAGTTAACAATTGGAACAGTTTTGGATTCATTTTAGACTCCGTCCCTTATACTGTTCAAATTGGCTTTCTCATTTTAGACTTCCCTGCTTAAAAAAACAAACATCTGTATAAACTCGTTAATATACATGTTTTTTCTAATTGTGTGCCAAATTTTAATTTCTCTTTTCTTGAAGGGCCTCAATGGCTTTTATAGAATATTTATATATTTAATTTTACATTATTGGTAATTCTATATTTTTGGTTATCTCTAATAAGTGGTTAAATGTAGTTTGTTTTAGTGTTTTTGCCATTTTGTCTTTGGAACAAAAAGTCAACTTTAAACCTTGTTTTTAGTCTTTTGGTCTCATTAAACTTTATATAAAACAATATTTAGAAAACATATTAATGTGAAAATAGTGTGTGTTTTGTGGGGGTGGTGGATGTCCCTCATTCTAGAATGTAAAGATTCATCAACATTATTTAACTACATATTCTGTTTATAGACGGGATGATCCGTTAGACTTAGCTCATCCGGTCTGCTAAAAATACGGGTTTGGATAACTATTATTGATGAAAATGGATGGATCCGGGTTTGTTCGTTAAAATTAGTGGACGGACATGGATAATGTAAAAATAAATATGGGCAGGCTCGTTCTGTCCGTTTGTGTTTTTATAGTTAATATGTATTTATCATTAATTAAAATTATACTAGTATATTTTAAAATTAAAGTTATAGGATGAGAGTTGTTACTCTTTGGTTTTTCTTGAGAACCTAAAAGGCTCTACATTATCTTTGTTAGCATTCTTATGTCAAAAGTTCTAATCGATCAACAATAGATAGAGTCAGTAGTTGCTTAAAGTTTTAATTGTAACAGTGTTTTTTCTTTTCTTTTTGTTCCACATTTGTTAATTAAGAGTTACACTTTTTAGGCCTATTAGTCCCAGGGATGGACCCAGAATTTTCCTCAAACGATGACATCATTTGATTATAAGAAAAAAAAAATATAGGGGATGACATCGTTTGACTATAAGGAACAAATATATGATTTTTTTTTTTAAAAGGTTGCACCATTTGACTAGAAAAATAACACTAACAGGATTCGAACTTAGGTTTGGAATGGAATAAAAGTCTTGCAAATTAACTCTACCAAATAAAATTTGTTCTCAATGTGGTTTCAAAAATGCGGTGGCACACAACAAATTAATAAGGTTGCACTTTTCACGAACCTAAAATTGTTTATCATTTGACGGAGGAATAATACGATGGCACGTGCCAATGCTCTATAGTAGGTCCGTCCATGGGCAAGCCCGGCCCATTTATGGGGCGGGCAATGGCAAGCAAGTTGTCAAGCCCGAAAAAAAGAGTTTGGATTTACAATATTATGCTCGTTGAACAACAAAAAAAAAACAAGTTAGGCCCGACCCGAGTATGCAAATGATCACCTCTAATATTCTTGCAACATGATTTAAGTATCTTTTTTTTTGCCTCCGATAAAGAAACGAGACGACTTTATGTCGTTATCCAAATGTAACGTATATTTTGTAATATTATTTGGGGAGCAATTTATTTTATTTATATGAAAATAAAAAAAATTAGGTGAATAAAAAACAAGCCGAATAACATTAACGTCATTCAAAATAATATATATATATATATATATATATATATAATCTATACTATATTATAAAGCATTTGGCTAAAACTCTTAAAACTCTTAAAAACTCTTAAAACTCTTAAAAACTCTTAAAACTCTGAAAAACTCTTAAAACAGATTTCATCCCATATCTGAATTCGTGTAACTAACTGCAGATAAATACAATCAAATACATGATAAACATCTAATTTTAAATATAAAAAATCTAAAATATAATTAGAATAATCATTGAGTTCTAACAGAATACTTTATTATTATCTTTATAAAATGTTATGTTATTAAACCAAAAATAAATTATTTCATTATTAAACTTAAATTAAATTATAAAAAAAAAAAAATCTATACTATATTATAAAGCATTTGACAAAAATTCTTAAAAACTACTTTTTATGCATAAAGTACTGTTTATTAATGCATATTACTTAAAACTCAAGATTACAAGTAGATTGTGTGTAAGTATTAAAGCTCCATATCTGAATTCGTRTAACTAATTGCAGGTAAACATAATCAAATACAAGATAAACATCTTATTTTAAATATTAAAAATCTAAAATATAATTAGRATAATCATTGAATTCTAACAGAATACTTAATTATTATCTTTATAAAATATTATATTATTATTAAATTTAAATTAAATTATAATAAAAACATAAATTATAGAAATTACATAAAAATTACTTTTAAATAGTTGATTTGACATTAACATTAATATATATATTTTTCTATACTATATTATAAAGCATTTGGCTAAAACTCTTAACTCTTAAAAACTCTTAAAACTCTTAAAAACTCTTAAAAC